CGCACATAGAGTAGCAGAGGCATACTGGGGAGCCCTGAAACCAGACAACCGGATCCTCACTCCTCTACTTCTAGCTTTCGACCCTTGAGCAAGTTACTTAACCTGTCCACCCGTGGTTTTCTCGTTAGCAGCACAATAATAATAACAGTATTCTCTCATTGGCTTGTTTTGAGAATAAAATGGAATAATGAATGTAAATATTCCCAGAATGTAAAATATAGTACCTGACATACACAAAGAGCTCCATAAATGTGAGTTATTACTTTAACTTCACAGATCAGTGACTGAAAAGCCACGATATTAAAAAAAGGATTAGCACCTCAAGGGGTTCCTGCACGATAAAATCGGAAGAATTGAAAGTTCTGGTTAATAATGGATGGGCCTTGTTCTGTCTTCTTTGATGGATTTAGTGGGATTGTTTGAAGCTGTGAATCTTGAAGGATACACGTAGATTTGTTCTAATTCAGAAGATGGAAGCCTCTTAATTATTAGGCTCCTATGAGTACGGTTAAAATAATGGTATTGTGTAAGCTGCGTGCCACAGAGTTAGAAAAACCTTTGATAATTTCTCGAGTGTTATTTCTGTGACCAAAAATATGATTACCACATCTTCTGTCCTTTATGTTTTCCTAATTTATTACTCTCTTCCTACATTTTGTTGACAGCCAAGCGATTTGTAACTTAGTAGTATGTGTTGCATAACATGCAAATACAACTATCTGAGGCCAGTCATGTATTTTTTAATAGAATCTCGACTGGTTTTGTTGTGGCTAAATTTGTCTTTTTAAAATCGCAGGGAATAGTATCTAGGCATGACCATATAAAATAATATGAATTTGTGTTTTTATCTTCAGCTCACACCTTTTGCCCTATTGGTTTAGCTTCTGGTGCGAATACAAACGTAAGAGCAAATAATGACCGTTTTTAATGTAACTTGCGAAAGATTGGTGAGGTGGTCATAGAGCTAAGGACCAACCTGACCCAAATAACAGGTTCACTTTTATACAGTAAAAAGAAAGCATGCAAAAATAAGTTATTTCATTGAGCATGTTTACATACACACCTGCTATGCTACAAAATCCTGAAAGACCAAAGTCGACAGGTTTTTGGAAGTTAAACTGTTGTCTTCTGAATCATTGCGTACCATTTGATCTTAATCATTATAAAATGTTATCATAAATTTACCTATCTAGTTAGTGACTATGTCATGAAAGCAAAAGGAGTTAGTACTTTGTCAAGAGCACAAAGGAAACTAACACATAAACATTCCTAATAAACCCATTCCTAATGGGTTTATTAGATGCATTGGAAATTATGATGTCACTGAATAAATATTTAAACGCCTCCTGGGCCTTCGCTCAGTTCTTACTTTTCTGCTTCTTTTTTGTGGCCTCACCTTTAACCACAACCAGTCCTCCAAACGCTCTTACAGCTGACTTTGTACCACATATTTGGCGACCATTCCAAATGTCTCGGCTGGGTGCGGTGGCTCATGCCTGTAATCCCAGCACTTTGGGAGGCCGAGGCAGTTGCATTGCCTGAGGTCAGGAGTTACCAAGACCAGCCTGGTCAACATGGCAAAACGCTGTGTCTACTAAAAATACAAAAATTAGCCGGGTGTGATGGCGGACTCCAGTAATCACAGCTACTCAGGAGGTTGAGGCAGGAGAATTGCTTGAACCCGGAAGACGGAGGTTGCAGTGAGCCCAGATTATGCCACTAAACTCCAACCTGCGTGACAGAGCAAGTCTCCGTCTCAAAAAAAGAAAAAAGTCTCACAACACTTCCCAGATAACAAGCCTTCTATGGGAAAGATGTTACTTATCTGTCAGTACCTATTTTCTTCTTTCTCAGTAATAGAACTTCTGAATGTTTTAGCCATCTGGAATAAAGACTGTATTTCTTAGCCTCCCTTGCAGGTATGTGTGGCCGCATGAATAAATTCTGGTTAATGGCAAAAAAAAAAAAATGAAAACGTTGGGTGCAACTTCTGTGAAATGTGCTCATGGAGACACTGTGTGCCTCTCTTTCCTTTTTTTCATTTTTGGCTGGCTAGATTGTATATTTGATGACACCAGCAGGAACAGTTATCTTGGATCATGAAGTCAAAGCCACTTCTTAGGAAATAAAATAAAACCTGGCACCCTGATCCTTACACCATGTCAGCCATGACTACCAACATTTATGTATGAGAGAAACAAACTTCCACCTTCCTTTGGACACTGTTATTTTGCAGCCAAACCTAACCCTAATGTATACACGCTCAAATACTTCCTGTTGCATCTATCAAGGGTGATCATTATCATTATGCCTTTGGCCTCTGTCACCTATCCTGTCTTATTCAAAGCCACATTAGGACTTAAGGAAAAGGGAGAGATGCCTTAAACGATCCCCGAGAGCACTCAGAATTAATAAAGTTAAGTTTAGAAGCTAAATTCAGAAAAGGAGAGGCTAAAAACGCTACAAATCTTTTCTATTTCCAGTACCTTTGTCTTATTAATAGACATTCTAGCTACGATTTCAAAGTTAATTCCCTAGATAATTAGACAAAAGCTAGGCCAGACGTCTAAGTTTTGGTTTCCGAATAATTATTTTTGCTAATTCTCAGTAATTAGTGTCAGCATCCAAAACTGTCCTAAAAACCCTGGGAGAGAGAGAGAGAGAACAGGAGAGAGAAAGAGGGAGTGGGGAATGAGCGAAAGAGAAATACAAGCATTATCCAGTACAGTATTTTATATATATATATATATATATATATATATATATATATATATATATATATATTTTTTTTTTTTTTTTTTTTTTTTTTTTGAGACTGAGTCTTGCTCTGTTGCCAGGCTGGAGTGCAGTGGCGTGACCTCGGCTCACTGCAACCTCTGCTTCCTGGGTTCAATTCTTCCAACTCAGCCTCCTGGGTAGCTGGGACCACAGGCGTGTGCCACCACGCCCGGCTAGTTTTTTTTTTTTTTTTTTATTTTTAGTAGAGACGGGGTTTCACCATGTTGACCAGGATGGTCTCGATCTCTTGACCTTGTGATCCGCCCACCTTGGGCTCCCACAGTGCTGGGATTACAGGCGTGAGGATTAATTTTAGGATTAACAAAATCTGATTCAAATTTTATAATTTTGAGCACTGTTTTATGGAAAACTGGGTATTTTTTTTTTTTTTCAGTTAACGCAAGTATCTTTTCCATTTACCTAGACTTAATTTGAAGCTTTTACAGTAGCTAAGAAAAGATACTCTTCTTTTTTCATGCCAAAATGATTTCCTTTAGCTATAAAATTATACCTTTAACCCTCCCTGTACCGGGAAAATAAATTTCAGCTGAAGACGGCCCTGGCAGAACTGCCTGGGGTTCTTCGTAAAGTCTTTCATTAGCATCCTTTTCTTAGACAGAGGCTGCTGGGCCTCAGCTCAAAAGACAGAGGGTTCTTTTGGTAGTTTGTGGATAATACAGATTTCTCAGCACTTATTAGAGTTTGGAAATTTACGTAGTGCATCACATTTTCCTTATTTGTGTAGATGTCCCTTTATGAGAGCAGAAAGATTCACAGATGCGTCTATTTGTGTGCTACCTAATTACTTCTGATCTACTCAGGTCTCTTTTTGTGCTTAGTGTCTTTTAAAATATTTAGAAGCACCATTGTCTGGTATCACCTATTAATAATTCATTGTAGTTGTAGTCATTGTAACCTGCAAGTAACAATAAAATAATACTTAACTCTTTAAATCTTCACTGCTTTCACTACAACACGTCACATTCGACTCTTGACTCATGGTCAATTATGCTTTTTGGCATTTTTTTTTTTTTTTTTTTTGGAAATAGTCTTACTCTGTTGCCCAGCCTGGAATGCAGTGATGTAATTACTACACCCTTCACTTCCTGGGCTCAAGAGATCCTTTAACCTCAGCCTCCCGAATAGCTAGGTATGCAGGTGGGTGCCACCGTGCCTAGCAAATTTTTACATTTTGTACAGACAGGTTCTCACTATGTTACCCAGGCTGGCCTGGAGTTTCTGGTCTCAGGCAATTCTTTCACCTTGGCTTCCCAAAGTGCCGGGACTACAGGTGCCTGGCCTTTATGGCATCTTTATTTAAATGTTTACCAGTTTGTCTTCCTCATCAGATAGTTAGAGGAAAGGAACCATGTCCTCATGTATTTCTTTTTAAATATCTCCAGTGCCCAGCAGGTAAATATAGTATGCATTAAAATGTCTTGTGTAAGAGAGTTTTGTAAAATGAAATATGAAATATGCACTTATCAATATAGCAAGGCAATGGTGCATACACCTGGGTCCCTCTGTAGGTCCAGCGTGTCAGGAGCTAGCATAATTTTCCCACTACCTATTTTATGTTTTAGTAGTGATTCTGAAGTTTGTTTTAGTCCATAGGCTATTTTTTATGCCAAGATATTCACAGATTTATCTGTTTACAGATAGGAAGATAATTATTCATAAAGATCACTAGAATGGGGAGGAAGGTAAAGTTTAATGGTAAAGAAAAATGGTGTTATTTTGTTTGTAATAAGTATCATGTATAAATTATAAGCACATGCTAAAAAGTAAAGACGGTTATGTTTAATCATGAGGATACTACATATCAAAAGCAGACCATTCAGATACTCATTAACTGCCTATTTCTAGAGAATCTATATTCTACCCACCACCATTGTACTAAAACTTTATGGCTTTTATAGGTGTACATCCAAATTACAAAACCAACTGCATTTAAAAAAGCTATCACCATTCACTTCAGGTTTTGTAAAAAGCATGAGGTATGCTTTTGGGGTTATTTCTATATGTCAAGAGCACACAGGCATATTAATTTGCAGGCATAGCTTATTTGCTTTATGTAAACTAGGAACTGCAAAATTCTGATATTAAATATCCTCACCGCATGATCACTGTTTATTACAGTCTGGTCAGAACCCCTTAAAGTGACTGCAACTTTCCATTTCACAGCTTCCTGTCACCAATCTATATTTTCTTTAATTCCATACCTCAAGTGCTGTTCTGAACTGTCCTGCTGCCATGGCGTATTTCTTCTGTCTATAGCAAGAGCTGGCATCCTTTAAGGCTACCTGAAGCCATTTGTCAATCTGAGGCGGAAAGCTGAAATTAGGTACACTCAGAGGGTCTACTATTTCAGCAGCCTGGTGTGTTGGCTGACTCCCAGGAGACAGGAAGGACTCTACAAACTCATAGCTAACACCCTCTTCATCAACGTAGACCAACTTCATTTCCACATCCATTATGTTCTTTAAGGGGATGCGTGGCAGGGGCATGGTGATTAACTGATTGTCAGCTTCTATTATCTTTGCCTCTTTCTTTCCAGCTGGCTTTTCTTCACCTTCTGCCTTCCGTTTAAAGGCCACTTTCTCTAAATCATTGCTTTGTTTTTCTTTGATGCTTTTTGTCATTTTTGCTCTTTCAGGTGTGATTTCTACCTGTTTATCTCCACAGTTTTTCTTCATCTCTTGTGGCATTTCCGGGATGTTAGGTGGGTGTGCTAAGGTGGACATTTTCTTGCTTGTATTTATCTTTGGAACAAGCTGATCATGATAGGCCCTTTTCACTGCATTTTCCAAACTCCCACTGCTTCCCGCATCCATTGAAGCCCAAAACTCCTGCAGGGGTGAGAAAAAGGAAACGAATTAAGGCAATATTTTGAATTCTAGTGGTTTAGACTACAGTCAAATTCATTTAAAACACTATTTTATTCATTATTAGTATTTGTTGCCTTATAAGTAAAACTGTATTTACATCGTTTACTGACTATTTTACTAGAAGAATGTATGTGTCTGTCTCAAAAGAATTTGTTGTAAGCACATCTAGACATTGTCTTAAAAAATAATCATCTATAGCCAAACAACATCGAATGAACACTTTTATGGGGTACCCAAACTCATTGAATAGGAAAATTTTATACATAGCCACTGAGACAGGAGAATCAAAGTCAATCTATCTCAATATTAATTTCCTCAGAAAGGCAGGTGGTCTAGAACTCATTATAAAATACACTCACCTGAATAAGAGACTTTGGGGTCTGAAGAAACCACAGCCGCTTCCTCTGAAAAGCTTCCAAAAATGTGAGCACAATCTTTCTTAAATTTGTTTATTTTATTACTAATGAAAATCTCAAGTTTAAAAAGCTTATAGACAACTATTTAGAACAGGCTTTAAAGAAGAAGATGATGACCTTCAGCCTTACAGAAACGTGAGCTGAAGACTTATCTTTAGTCTACTGTATTAATATATTTATAGTAATGATATCAGCAATGTACACTATATAAAGATAAGGTATTTTCCTAAAACATTAATGCTCAAAATATATAACTAATAGTCTTTTGATTCCAGGATGCTGCATGCTATGTGTTTCTAGATTTGTTTCAAACTACAAAGTGTTCTAAGATATAATAATTATTTAGTATGGTTGGTTCCTATCTTTTAGGACTTTCTTTTTCACCTATCGCATTCCATTCCGGAAACAACTTTGTGAAGTACATAGGAATAGGTGCCACATTTTGCAAAGAAACTGAGGTTTGGAGAGATTAAGTTGCTTATCCAAGGTCATATTGGTTGGTCATTAGCGACCTACCCATTCAGATTGCTATTACCTTCCTGGGACTGCCCCTCACTAACTCCTAGCCTGGGATACTTCCTCTATAACATGATAATCTTTATATAGCTAATAGACTTGGATCGGACTACAAAGATAAGAGAAAATAGCAAGAAAGAAGGGCTGCATGTAATTAGATAACAATGAGATAAAAGCTAACATTTGTGCTTCCTTCCATCTTCAAGGTCAGTGTCTGACTAAAGATAAAAATCTTGAGTTGCTTTTCAGAATTTATTAATGTTGCTCATTATTTTCATTTGTTTGTTTGGAAGACAGTAGTTTGCCCAAAGAAGACCCTAAAACAAAACACCACATGTTCTCACTCGTAAGTGGGAGTTGAATAATGAGAACACATGAACACAGGGAGGGGGACATCACCTACCAGAGCCTCTTGGGGATAGGGGAGGGAAAGGGGAGGGAGAGCATTAAGACAAATACCTAAAGCATGCAGGGCTTAAAACCTGGACGACGAGTTGACAGCTCCAGCAAACCGCCATGGCACATGTATACCTATGAAACAAACCTGCATGTTCTGCACATATCTCATAACTTAAAGTAAAACAAACAAACTAACAAATATCCTGAACTATGATCCATTAGATTTTTTTTTATTATTATTATTTTTTATTTTTTAGACAGAGTCTTTCTCTGTTACCAGGCTGGAGTGCAGTGGTGCCATCTTGGTTCACCGCAAGCAACCTCTACCTCCTGGGTTCAAGCGATTCTCCTGCCTCAGCCTCCCGAGTGGCTGGGATTACAGACGTCTGCCACCATGCCTGGTTAATTTTTTTGTATTTTTAGTAGAGACAGGGTTTCATCATGTTAGCCAGGCTGGTCTTGAACTCCTGAACTTGTGATCCACCTGCCTCAGCCTCCCAAAGTGCTGGGATTACAGGTGTGAACCACTGTGCCGGTCAGATTTTTTAAGTAAAGGAGGAACTGAAATTGTTCCTATGGCTCTAACCTTTGAAATAGGTTACACTTTTCCCCTCTGTACCGTTGGACACACACATCATCAGAAAAGATTTAAGGTTACGCATGGACATATCAAAGGATCTACTGTGACAGTCTTTGTTATCTCGTAAGAATGATTGAATTCCAATAATTCTAATGATAGCTATCTTGTATATTAATTTGTAAAAGCTAAATTCTAGAGTATTTCCCCAATGATTCATAATGACACAGTAGAGTTGTGTTTCTATAGGATAAAACATCTAAAAGTTTGAAATTTTTACCGATCTTTGTCATCTTTAGTATTGAAGATCAACATGATTGTGAATCACAGGCCCCATCAACAGATTCACTTTGGGTGAGACTCTGTTTCCTTTTCCTCTCTTAGAAACGTTGCTGGCATCCAACATCTTTTGGACTGCTAATGTGGCTACTCAGACTGGCAAGGGGAAAACTGTCCTGGCCATCACTTTTATCTTGTGTTTGCTCTTATGCCACCTCTACATATGCTTTAGATTGAGTAAAAATAAACGTCAGTCCTTCAGTTAAGATCTCTGTTGAATGAACGCTCCAGGATATGCATCTATACTGTTAAGTTTCTTTTGGTAGCAGAGATACACCACTTGAAACTTGTTTAATGCTCAGAATACCTGGTTTTAAGGGTTTCTGGTTCATTTTCATTTCTACAATAGGCTGTGAAAAATATAAACAGAAAACACTGGTTTGTGAGCTGTTCCAACATTTTCATGATACCTTCCAGGTATCTTATCTTACCAAACTCTCTCTACTTCAAGCACCAGAAGCTAAAATGTACTAGAATATCTGTAGTTGGTTGGCATTAGAAACATTTTTAGCATCTACAGCAGCGTTAACTATCTCTGCTGTATTTATTTCACGTCTCTTTAACACATATAAATGCATAAAGTTATCTTCATAGACATTTCTTCTAGAGGATAATCGTTCTCTCTCGGCCTCCCTCTCTCCATTTTCCTCCCTCCTGTGCCTGTTTTTCTGCAAACTCCTCCCACCCCAATTCTCCTCTGGGATGTCCCTCACCCAGAGCCTTTTCCTTTCTGCGAGAAGAAAGGTTTTTATTGTTTTTAAGAAATAGAATTCTGAGTACTTCTGCATTAGTCTTTAAACTGCTCTATAGAAATCATCACTTTTGTCTTTAGTGCAGTTTTATACAAGAAAAAATGACAGAAGAGGAAAAAACATATAGGGTGTCTACAGAGCACTCAGAGGGATTAATACGTAAGCAAATGTTTAGCTTTCAGACATCTGAAAGATCAATTATTCCCAGTAAATAGAAGAAACGAATTCAGGTTCCTTCCCAAATTCAGAATAAATACCTAAATGTCTAAAAGTGTTGCAAAAACACAGGCTGAAAAAGCATGACCAAACCCAATGATTACTTTTCAGTGCTGGTTGAAAATCAGATGATTTTATTTCAGCTATACGACCTGTTATTTATTTTTTTAAAGTAAAAATTGCCACATATGTACAGAAGAGTTATGGAACTGCCGCTTATGGCTTCTTCAAAAATTATAAAACTCTATTTAAATAATCACTCTTCCTATAAACTACCCTGAAGTCAAGCTGAACATCTTGTTAATTCCAAAAACGTTCATTTTCAGACTGTCAGCTAAGAATTCCCCATCTTCCCATTGCCACCCCATTCCACCCGTCCAAACCTACCCAGGAGTTATCCATTTTTACCTCCTCAGAATAATGCTAATGGCATTTATAGCACTTATTTTTCATTTTTTATATCACAGTTATTCCTGAATGACTTATTTTTTCCAATAAGCGCCATAAAAGCAGAAATACACTTTATTCTTCCTGACATTAGTTCAGTGCTTTGTATAGAGTAGCCATTCAATAGATGTTGATCAATCTGAATGCTGTGAAATCAACAGCTAATTTACACATTCTTATTTAAGAGAAGCAGGATTGGATCTTTCTAAAAAAGTATGGACTGTAACTTTGAAAAAGTCATTTCTGAGAAAATTTTCCATATTTATTTTTTGTATTAAATTTGGTCTTGGGTAAAGTACATTTTCTTCTGTGATAGTTCAAGTGAATCATGTACCAACTAGATTTAAACTATCAACCTCTTCAATTTTTTTTAGTAGTCAAGTTGATTAACATGACATTAGTCAGTGTTCCTGAGACACCGAGCTACAGTTTAATCATTACTTCATAAAAATGCTTTCAGAGAAAACTGTTAGACAATCATTATGTACATCAAAGACGTATTTGCTGATAACATTCTGTAAAAATGCTCATTCTTTAATTTAGAAGACAGCACTGTAAAATTGATTCCATCATAGAAACATGCCTTTAAAAAAATCTTTAGCAAATATTGACATGAAACATTGGAACAATTTCCAAGGTTTTATAATAAATACAAGTAGAAGAAACAAAGAGAAGTTAATGTTCAATCATTTCCAGTGGGTACCCATTTTAAATTTATTCAGTGGGTTTTCAACACATTTATGTTTTTTCTTCAAGTATTTCATCAAGCGTTCTGTTCTATGTGGGAGTTTCTATTGCTTCATAGATTGAATCAGTGGTTTACATGGCTATTAGTACCACAGATTATTTGTTAAATTTTTAATTGAAATAGGCAGCTCAAACATGGGCAATTCAGCAAAAGAGAATCCTTCAAAATGTGCTCTCTGAAACATTCAGGATCACAGTTGCTATGGTTTTCTTTCTTTAAAAAAAAAAAAAAAAAAAGATCTAATTTTAACTTGCTGTTAAATGTAACCAGAGAGACATTATGAGAAAAAAAACACCTTGCTTGTTAGTCTACCAGTTCTTTTAAACGTTTTAAAAAATACACTACAAAATATTTCTTCAATCCAATAATCATTTATTGAGCACCTACTATGAGCAAGCTGCTGTGCTAGGTAATACGAGGGAAGCTCAAGATGACTGAGACCAGGGTCTTGGCATTCTAGCGCTCATAGCTTGGAGTGGAGGTGGAGGATGGAAAGAGGAGATGCTGTCTTACTAGACTGAGAACTGCTGCAGAGGCAGAAATGTATCACG